CACGAAACGATGTGGCAAGACGCATAAATGGTGCCGACAAGCTCGACTGCTTCGTTTCATCGTTGTTTTTGCCGCTGCATTGTCCCGCCCGCCCCGCCTCCTGGATAGAGTAATGTTGTTTTGAATGCTCGTTGTAACGGTGTATCGTGATGTCGTGGATCGGGCGTAGTTTCGATGTTGGTCAAGGGAGAGTCGTTGCGACAAACAAGCGTTCTTTCAACACACCATTTCAACTCCACTGTTCGGATTATCCCATCATCAAGCCGAGAGAACCCGGTTATTTCACTCATGCATTCCACACGTTAGCACTACACCCCAAATATTATGTCATGGCACACGACTCTAGGCCTTCGAAAGCGAAATTCAAGTCGGCCCAAGAAGCAGCCAACAATGAAAGCTTGTTTATTGGCGCACACTGCTCGCTCGGTGTGACCTTTGACGTTGTTTCCATTGTAAAAATATATTTACAAGGGATCTGAACCAGGCAACGACTAACTACCGCGGATTTGCCAGTGATACGATCAAGGAAAGTGACCGATTTGCGCTCACTCATTTTTTTATGTCTCAAGCTTGGCTTTCCTTTGAGCGGTGCATCTGCAGCCAGTGCGGAGACGACTTTCACAAAGATCCGTGTACTTCGGTACACGTATGGATGACAGATGAAGCGAGAAGTCGCCATCGCCAGAGCAATCAGCCGAACACGGGAGTCTGCCCATGTCATTACTGCACCGTGTCGGCCATCAAGCAGTTCGCTTTTGGCAACGGCCCTTTCAAGCAAGTTAACCGGTCAACTTTCTACAACCACACCAAAACACGTCCATATGCAACCGTCGCTTCTGTCCTCGAGGAATTCCCCGCGATGCAACAGCGCTTCGAGGCGCACTTTGGAGTGGGGCAAACTGTTCCCATGGAGGTAGATCCTGCTCTCTCGGGTCCGCCACCGCTCGTATCCGAGCCAGCTGCCATGGAAGTGGATGACTACGGTGATGACTCTGGCGACATTTCTCGAGACTCAATGGTAAGGGTTGCCGCGAAGCTCGCAACGAGCGGTGCGAGCACAAACAGTCATCACTCATCCTTCTGTTCTTCTGTTCTTAGGATGTCGAACGCGACAATGACAATGATTACGAAACGGAAGACGAAGCTAACGAAGCTGACGTTACTGAGAACGATGCCACGAACAACGCCACGAGCGAGCCGACTGCACCACCGGCAGCGCCCGAACCCGAACCACAACCGACAAGCCCTAACGATCGCCTGGCTGCTGCATACCGGCTTCTTATCCAGTCTCTGCATAGCATCAAAGATAAAGTCACAAAAGTTGTCTTCATCAACATAAACGCCTGGAATCCATCAACTGGCCTTCCTTTGTTATGCGGAAGCCTCGACTACCACAAGTCGTACAATGCCGAGGAGATGCTCAACTTCGTCCTGGTTTGCGGCAAGCACATCTTTCTGGGATTGGTGACCAAGAGCGTGCAAAACATCTGGTGGAACTTTTCAGAAATGACGCG